TTTTTTTTTTTTTTTTTTTGAAAAGGAGTCTCGCTCTGTTGCCCAGGCTGGAGTGCAGTGGTATGATCTCGGCTCACTGCAAGCTCTGCCTCCCGGGTTCACGCCATTCTCCTGCCTCAGCCTCCCGAGTACCTAGGACTACAGGCACCCGCCACCATGCCCGGCTAATTTTTTGTATTTTTTTTTAGTAGAGATGGGGTTTCACCATGTTAGCCAGGATGGTCTCGATCTCCTGACCTTGAGATCCGCCTGCCTTGGCCTCCCAAAGTGCTGGGATTATAGGCGTGAGCCACCGCCCCTGGCCTCTTATTATTATTTTTTGAGGCAGAATCTCCCTCTGCTGCCCAGGATGGAGTGCAGTGATGCAATCTCGGCTCACTGCAACCTCTGCCTTCCTGGTTCAAGCATTTCTCATGCCTCAATCTCCTGAGTAGCTGGGACTACAGGTACGCGCCGTTACGCCCAGCCAATTTTTGTATTTTTAGTAGAGATGGGGTTTTGCCATGTTGGACAGCTGATCTCGAACACTTGAGAGTGACCCACCCACTTTGGCCTCCCAAAGTGCTGGGATTACAGAGCCACAGCATCTGGCCTAGATTTCGTATCTTATGATATGGTGCAACGTAAGTTGTTGATTCTTCTTCTTTTTTTTTTTTTTTAATGAGACAGAGTCTCGCTCTGTCACCAGGCTGGAGTATAGTGGCGGGATTCCAGCTCGCTGCAACCTCCTCCTTCTGAGTTCAAGTGATTCTGCGGCCTCAGCCTCACGAGTAGCTGGGACTACAGGCGCGCACCACCCTGCCCAGCTAATTTTTTTTGTATTTTTAGTAGAGATGGGGTTTCACCATGTTGGCAAGGATGGTCTCCATCTTCTGACCTTGTGAACTGCCCGCCTGGGCCTCCCAAAGTGCTGGGATTACAGGCGTGAGACACCACGCCCAGCCAACTTGTTGATTTTTCAAATTCTATAGGACTAGATTATCTGAACATGAAATTCAAGAAATTTTTCAAGACTGAAATGAGTTATGCTTTCTTTTGCAAATTTGATACTGGTGAAAGTATGTTAAAAAGGTTGCTTTGAAAGTAAATGTGAAGGTTCCAACGATGTCTCTTTCTTCCCCGGCTAATACTTCCTTCCACTCTAAGAAGCCAATTCCTTCTTGCCTTTGCCAAGTAAAGGAAGAATACTGATGAAAATAAAACTCCGCTTGCTTTTTTCCAGCACCAATAATTTTGAGCCTAGTGATACCTCCTACAATGCAGAACAGGATCTCTAAAGAGCATGCCAAGGAATGTGGATACTAAAACTATCAAATAGCAAAACTTGTCCTAATGACATTCCATATACATCATTTGTTCAACTTTCTCCTGAACATAACTTAATTACAAAATATAAATAAAACTAGGAAAGATACATCAATGACAAATTCACCTGGAAGTCAGTTTTTCAAGAAAAACACTAGGTTTGATCCGTCATGGAATGAGAAAAAAAAAGGAAAAATACTGAGGAAAAAAATGAGAAGAAAAAGGAAAAAAAAAAAGAGAAAAAAAGGAAAAAATCTGGCTGTGAGCTAAAAATGGATTTTATATTTTTAAAGAGGTATAAAAAAAAGAAAACAAAGAATATGTAATAGAGACTGACCACATGTGGCCTGCAAAGTCTAAAGTGTTTACTATCTAATCCTTTATAGAAAAATGCTGCCAGCTACTAATAGAGACCAATGTATACATTTAAACTTTAAAATTATATACTTTATATACTTTAACAAAAATTGTGTTTATTACCTGTTCATAATTTAAACGTTGAATTTCTGAAATTTCTTTTGGCTTTGCATCAAGCATGTAATCTCCTGTAAAAAAAAGAATTGTAAAATTGCCTTTTAAAAACTTTTTTTTTCTGATTACAAAAGTAATAGATCTTAATTATAAATGTTAAAACACTGTAGTTATAGCTAACATATAAAGTTGACTCACCAATCCTACCCAGAGAGAATCAATGTTAACTTTTCCTATCACCTCAAATATTTTTTCAATGTATATACTACAGTGCTTTTGAACTTTTTACTTCCATTTTATAATATATTTCAGCAGCATTCCACGTTACTATGTATAAAGGTCCCAAAGGTTGTACCAAATTTCATTGCTGTCAACAATATAACTATTTCTGATTACCTCACCAACAATGGGTATTATCAGTCTTCTAAATGTTGCAACCCTGAGAAGTAAAAAAAAAAAAATTTAGCCTCTGGCCGGTTTGGGTGGCTCATGCCTGTAATCCCAGCAGTTTGGGAGGCTGAGGTGGGTGGATCACCTGAGGTCAGGAGTTCAGCCTGGCCAACATGGTGAAACCCCAACTCTACTAAAAATAGAAAAATTAGCCAGGCGTGGTGGCGGGCACCTGTAATCCCAGCTACTTGGGAGGCTGAGGCAGGAGAATCGCTTGAACCTGGGAGGCGGAGGTTGCAGTGAGCTGAGATCGCGCCACTGTGCTCCAGCCTGGGAAACTGAGTGAGACTGTGTCCCAAAAAAAAATTTTTTTTTTTTTTGCATTTAAAAAGATGGTATTTTTATATATGAGTTTTTATTTGGTATCACCTTTTAAATATATGTATAACCTTTTGGTATACGTGGCAACTTTTTAATATATGTAGAACCTTCTAAAAATATGGATCACAATTTTAATACTTTTAAATTTATGTATTATCTTCCAAATTATGTATTAACTGTATGTACACACTTTTTTCCTTTGAATTATCTACCTATATAATTATCTTTTTTGTTTTTAAGAGATGGGGTTTTGCCATGTTGCAGCATCCCAAAGTGTTGGGATCACAGGCATGAGCCACTGTGCCTGGCCTATCTTTTCTTATTGAACTGTAAAAGCTAAACTGGGCTGGGCATGGTGGCTCATGCCTATAATCCCAGTGCTTTGGGAGGCCAAGGAGGGTGGATCACTTGAGGTTAGGAGTTCAAGACCAGCCTGGCCAATATGGTGAAACCCTGTTTCTACTAAAAATACAAAAATTAGCCAGGCGTGGTGTTGTGCACCTGTAGTCCCAACTACTCAGGAGGCTGAGGCAGGAGAATTGCTTGAACCCAGGAAGTGGCGGTTGCAGTGAGCCAAGATCGCGCCATTGTACTCCAGCCTGGGTGATGGAGCCAGACTCTGTCTCAAAAACAAAAACAAATTTTATTTTTTTAAAATCTTGTCAACTGGTTAATCTGTCTCTACCCTTCCAGACAACTAGTTAACTGATTTTTTGTGAGATCTAGACTTAGTGACGTAACTGAGACTGCACATTTTAGAAGACTTTTTTTTTTTTTTGAGACAGAGTCTTACTCTGTTGCCCAGGCTGGAGTGCAGTGGCGTGATCATGACTTGCTGCAACCTTAACCTCCCTAGGCTCAGGAAATCCTCCCACCTCAGCTTCCTGAGTAGCAGGGACTACAGGCATGCACCACCACACCTGGCTAATTGTTTAAATAAATAAATAAATAAATAAAGTTAAACTGGATGCAGAAAAATGAGCAAAACTTGGAAAGGCAATGGGAGAAAAAGTATCTTTTGAGGGGAAGAATGAATGGAGAAAACACATATAAGAAAGATCATGTCACATGGACAACTTATAAGAAGATTTAATACAAAAGATTTATATTGTAAAGTAGTGGCAAACATGGTTGAATGAGTAAACTTGAACAGATTTTAGAAAATCCTAAATAATATGCTGATAAGTTTGGCTGGCTGTAAAAGATCACACGGATCTTTATACTATATTAAGTAGAGAAGTGAAGGATGAAATTGATGCTTTAGGAAAAGCACACTGATATGTAGGCTAATTTAGAGAACAAAGAATGATACAGTTTGCAGGTAAATCAGGTTGTGAAGTATCAGTATACAGAAACAGAAAAAATTTCAAGGAAAGAATTAATATAACCTTGCTACTAATGGGATATTCTAGATAAACAGAAAACAAGAAACCAAAATTTGACAGCTACTTTAGGCCAAAAAAATGGAAGAGACGGTTTGGCATAAGTTTACTAGCTTATACCAGGTGAACATTTGGAAAAAAGGAAATACAGGCAACTCTGGGAGAAATTAAAATGCTTCAACATTGACCTGTCTTTATAGCGTATTTATATTCAAAAGATAAAATAATTTTTTTAAAGTCAGACAATGCCACCATCTCTATTATTTTCCTTACTTTATACTATGCCAGTCTCATCATCATACTACCAATATCAGATGGCTGAAGTCACAATATACATTCCAGTTTATGTTGAGTTTCATATTCCTGCTCATTTCCTGCCTTCTCCCTCCATCTCTTCCCCTACCTTACTTTATTACGCTTCCTAACACTTTCTGGGTATAGTGTTTCTTTCACTATGCCAAAGCCCTCCAAAAAGCCATGTCCATGTCTGGCTCTGCTCTCATATTCTAGTAACAGAAATTTCCAGATTGAAATTCACCACTCTTCTCTTCTAATCTTTGCCAATCAAAATTCCCATTTCCTTGGGGTACTTCAGCTAGGCACTAGGAAAGCAATGATTAGTTTCTCTTACAATCCCTCTACTAGTGTTTGCTTTTTAACTAAAAAACATCTTTTTTCTCCAGAGAAATGGAGTAATCTCAACAGGAGAACATCTAAATAGCTTAGAAAATTAAACAATTTGTTCTGGCACGATTGACCCTGAGTAAAGTTTACTTTTGGTGAGGCAGAGCCTTCAGAATTTATTTGCCTACACCGTTCTTTTTCACTTCTCCCCTATATCCCATTAAAATATTACTTTTGCACTGTCACTAATAGCTAAGTCCTCTCACCAGTGATTCCCAAACCTCTTTAGCTACACTAGGTATTTCCCCACTAATTTTTCTTTTTCCTTATTAAAGTTATCTATCCTATGTTCTGCTTCCTCAGGGCTTTGCTAGCTAAGAGTTAGATAAATTTAACACACCAAGATGTGTTAACTATTTCTTTTATTACTCTTTCCAAGAAAAATACCATGCTGACATTTTCGTGGTTAGAGTACACTTATGCAGCCACATTAACTACATGTTGACACCTCCAAATAACTAGCTCACAGTACATACTCAGTAAATATTTACTGGATTGCTGGGCGCGGTGGCTCACGCCTATAATCCCAGCACTTTGGGAGGCCAAGGCGGGCGGATCACCTGAGGCCAGGAGTTTGAAACCAGCCTGGCCAAGATGATGAAACCCCATCTCTACTAAAAATACAAAAATTAGCTGGGTGTGGTGGTAGGCGCTTGTAATCCCAGCTACTTGGGAGGCTGAGGTGAGATAATCACTTGAACCCGGGAGGCGGAGGTTGCAGTGAGCCAAGATTGGGCCATTGCACTGTAGCCTGGGTGACAAGAGTGAAATTCCGTCTCAAAAAAAAGAAAAAAATTTTGCTGGATTAAAAAAGGCAAGAAAAGGGCTGGGTGTGTGACTTATGCCTGTAGTCCCAGCACTTTGAGAGGGCAAGGTGGGTGGATTACAAGGTCAGCAGTTCAAGACCAGCCTGGCCAACATGGTGAAACCTCATCTCTACTAAAAAAAAAAAAAATACAAAAATTAGCTGGCTGTGGTGGCGGGCGCCTGTAATCCCAGCTGCTTAGGTGGCTGAGGCAGGAGAACTGCTTGAGCCTGGGAGGCGGAGGTTGCAGTGAGCCAAGATCGCACCATTGTACTCCGGCCTGGGCAAAAGAGCAAGACTCAGTCTCAGGAAAAAAGGAAAAGAAGAGAAAAGAAAAGAAAGAAAAACACAAGTAGAGGAAATTTCAAACACCAAAAACACTTTGCGATGATAGAGGGGTAAGAGGGATATATTTTTGAGTACATGAGCTTTCAGCATTCTTTAAATCATAGAAAGTGCCCAGAGGGAGACAGCACATTAACCCCTCTAAACACCGGTTTCCTCATCTGTAAAACAGAGGCATTACAATTTTGTGATGGCTTTATTTTTCCACCAATCTCATCCTTTGTACTATTAGTACTTCTGCACTTATGGCTCTGCTCATCGGTTCTCTGCCACCACAACTGTATTTCTTCATTTGCAGAACTCATGGCAAAAGAGCTCATTTTGTCTCAGACGGTACGCAGACAAAGTCAAGTAGAGTGCTAGTGATAATGAGCAGGGAAGAGGTTAGGTAAACGGCATTAACTTGTGATAGCACAGAAAGTAGAGCCAGAATGAAGATAAGAGCTATGGAGTGGCAGCACAGTTTAACACTGTCCAGTCGAAATATAATGCAAGCCACAAATTTGAGCTCAAATGTAATTTTAAATTTTCTAGTAGCCACATTAATAAAAGTCAAAATAAATAGGTAAAATTAGGGGGTTTTTTGTTTTTTTTTTTTTGAGATAGGGTCTCACTTTGTCACCCAGGCTGGAGTATAGTGGCACAAACATGGCTCATGGCAGCCTTGAACTTCCAGGCTCAAGTGATCCTCCTGCCTCAACCTCCTGAGTGGCAGGGACTACAGGTGAGCTTTATTACACATGGCTAATTTTTAAATTCTTTATAAAGACAGGGTTTGGCCATGTTGCCCAGGCTGGTCTTGAACTCCTGAGCTCAAGTGATCTGCCTGCCTCAGTCTCCTGAAGTGCTGGGATAAAAGGCATGAACCGGCCGGGCGCGGTGGCTCAAGCCTGTAATCCCAGCACTTTGGGAGGCCGAGACGGGCGGATCACGAGGTCAGGAGATCGAGACCATCCTGGTTAACATGGTGAAACCCCGTCTCTACTAAAAAATACAAAAAACTAGCCGGGCGAGGTGGCGGGTGCCTGTAGTCCCAGCTACTCGGGAGGCTGAGGCAGGAGAATGGCGTGAACCCGGGAGGCGGAGC